ATCAGCCCTGATGATGTTACTTAGTTTGGATAATGAAACATCTGCAAAAAAACCACCCTTTATTTAATCTACTTTTCCAAAGAGGACTTGAGTTTGGCTTACCCAAGTCAAGACGATCTTGATTGCCAAGTGCTGGAAACTATCAAGCAAGAGACCAGGAATTTTAGGGAGATGCGAAGTCTTGGCTGCAGTTCAAAAGAGAGGCAGTACAAATATTTGCCACAGGAGTGGAACGGTCTGAATTATGTGCCAGTGTTTGAGCAAGCCAGCTGTCAACTTGGACTTCTCTTAGTGTATTTGACACAGCCAAGGAAAATTAGATCTCTTGGAATGGTTCATGGGCTCTTAGGAAAGTACTTTTGGATTTAAAAAAAGGGGGGGATTGTTAAATGCCACAAAGCCAGATATCCCAGCACTGAAGAAGGTTGTGTGTCTAATGCTGCTTTTTGGCTCAGAGTACTCAATAGTAAGGTTGCCTAATGCTAAATTGGGTGATGCTGTTGGCAGGGGTACCGAGCTGAGATGGACAACCCTACCATGGCCTTCCTCTTACCTCCCCTTTTGAGAAGCTGCAAAGATGTTCTCTTTGGAAACATGCCTGAGATCTATGACTTCCACAACAAGTAAGCTGGCACGCTCTTCAAGTTTTCCCTTTGCCTTCGCCACCATTTCAGGAAATTGACCTCTTCTCCATCCTTCTTTTCCCTTTTGTGCAGCATCTTCCTCCATCACCTGGAAAGCTGCCTTGAAGCTCCAGAGAGAGTTGGGTGCTGCTTCTTGGAAAAGGTTTGTGAGCACCTTTTTCAAACAGATTGTGGGGTCCCCTTATGCCAAGGCTGGAAATCCACTAGATTCAGAAAGGTCCAGGGACACCGCTGACATTTCTCCATTTTTGCTAACTCTAAAATCTCCCTTGCACTCTTCGAACGTAGATGTTGATTTTTGTCTTTATATTTTTTTTTTGTTCCCTTCTGTAGCGGGAGGATTTTCAGATGTACGAGAAGTACTGTCAGAATAAACCACAGTCAGAATCTCTCTGGAGGCAGCACGCCGAGAGTCTCTTTTTCCAGGTATTGTGTCTTTCTACAGCGAGCACAATAAATGGGATACATTTTGAGACTTTCCGTGGTTTTCCATCTGCTGAGAATGTGGGTGGAGTTATAACTGAGTTTTGAGAGGTGTGGTTTTTATTTTAGGGGCTCCCCTGAGACATTCTGAGAAACGAAAGGCAAATTCTTCAAAAGTTTGCATGCACATCTGAACCATTAAGTTGCAAGGCATTTCTTTGTTGTGTGTGTGAGAGAGAGAGGCAGAGACAGAGAGAGACAGAGACAGAGAGAGAGACAGAGAGACAGACAGAGAGAGAGAGAGAGAGAGAGAGAGAGAGAGAGCAAAAGATAGAGAGAGACAGAGAGAGAGAGAGAGACAGAGAGAGACAGTGAAAGATAGAGAGAGACACAGAGAGAGAGAGAGAGACAGAGAGAGAGACAGCGAAAGATAGAGACACAGAGAGAGAGAGAGAGAGAGAGAGAGA